GCCTATTGTGGGCCAATTGTGGGCCAACTGTGGGCCAATTGTGGACCAATTGTGGACCAATTGTGGGCCAATTGTGGGGCAATTGTGGGGCAATTGTGGGCCAATTGCGGGCCAATTGCGGGGCAATTGTGGACCAATTGTGGGCAATTGGGGGCCCGACGCACCGTTCGGAGAAAAAAACAGTAAAAACGTATATCTATAATTTCACGTTGTTGAGCAATTTTCACGGCGATTTCATGAGTATTTGGCTTGATTTTGCTTGATTTTTGCTTGAGTTGCTTGATTTTACTTGATTTTGCTTGAGTTGCTTGATTTTGCCTGGGTTGTTTGATTTTTACGCTTTTGTTGCATGGTTTGCGATTTCGCTGCAGGAGCGCGCGTCAGGGCACAAAAGCTTGCCCATGTTTGTTGGCTTGCTGGTTTGACGAATTCACCATGATTGACTTGTGTTTTGGGTGAATTTGCATGATTTCCACTTGGTTTACCAGCAGCATGTGGGAGTTTTGACGTTGATGGGGGGAGGGTCGGGTGTGGAGCCGCGACCTCAAAGCGCGGCGCATCTGCAGTAAGCGAGGTCATGTTTGAAGCGTAGCTGAGCCTGAGTGAGTGCGGCGTTGGAGTTGCTGTGTGCAGGAACATGTAAGATTCCCACTTCTCTGCGATCAGGCGGCCTCTTCCACCTTGAAGCTGCAGGGCGCTCGTGTCTGCCAGGGTGTGCGCAAGGGCTGAGAGTGTGTGAGGGATTTGCAGGTAGGAATGGTAGGAGGGAATGTGCAAGAGTTTTTTCACGTAGTAGTGCGTCTGCGGCAGGAGTGATCGCATCTCTGGCAGAAGCGTTGCGTAGAAACTCTGAAGCTAAAGCCCTCCCAGCAGTCCCTTAACCTCCCCCTTTTTCCTACGCTCAGGTCTCTGTTCATCGTCATCTAAAAGTCCCGAGCTCTTCGTGAATGCAAGCAAGTGTGCAGGCTTTAGGATAGGCTCCCAACCCTGGTTTTGGTTGCCCCCAGGTCACCCTGAGTTCGCCCTACGCTGGAGCACTGACTGTCTGCCGGTAGAAGCAAGCCTAAGCCTAGGTAGCCACCTCTACGCCCGGAATCCCCGGCCGCTGCTATGCTCAGGTCTCATCCTCTTCCACTTCTTCGATTGCGCGGCTCTCTTGAGTGTAGCCGCTCGCTGCAGTTGCTGTAGGCTGGCAGGAACTAGGGGAGCTGTTGTAAGCAAGCCCGCGCGTTGATAAAGCTTTTCTTGTTCGAGTCTCATAGTTCTGAGCGGGTGCTTTGTTTGGCATAGCTGACGCCATGAGCGACGCCTTGGTTGCTGAAGCTATCGCTGGTGAGTTGACCTCTACAGGTCTTGCTAGCGCAGAAGTCAAGAATGGGGGTCAAGAAGCTGTTGATGTAGATGCAGCGCCTAAGCCCAAGCCGCGGTGGTACGTGAACAAGCTGGCTGCCAAGAGAAAGCTTCGAGAGCAGAAGGCAGCAACCGAGGGGCGTGAGCTTCGTGCCTATATCAAGGCCTCGAAAGGTGAGACTTGCTCACATGTTACAGCCCAAGCCGATCGAGTGATAGCAGAAATCCAGAAGACTGTGAGGGATGAGATTTCCCAGTGCTCCGTGAAGCGTTCTAAGCCTGCTGAGAAGCCCACAGAGAAGGTTGCTCAGGCCCAGGACGCTGAGAAGAAGCGTTCTAGGCCTGTTAAGGTCGAGGACCCTGAGAAGAAGCGCAAGGCTGAAGAAGACAAAGCAGCCAAAAAGGCTCTTGCTGAGGAGAAGAAGGCCAAGGCTGAACAGCGCAAGCTGGCTATCGCGGACCTGAAGGAGAAGAAAGCCGCCTTAGAGGCTGAAATCAAGGCTCTGGCGGCCACGAAGAAGCCGAAAAAGTCCATCGACGACAAGCAGGTCCCGCCAACCTCTTGTGAGAAGAACCCGGAGTCTAGGCGCAGTATGCTGCCTGCTTTGTTCGGCGGCTCCAAGCAGTAGGCTCCGTAGGCCGTCGGCTGTAGAGTGTTTTTCGGGTAGGATCGAGGGGATGATGGGGACGAAGATCCACGGGGTCGCGCCTCGGACAGGTTTTGCAGCACTAGCACTTGCTCACGCTCTGAGGCCGAAGCGCTTGACGATCAGCTTCGACAAGAAGCGCCTGATCACAGAGGCAAGGGGGAGGTCCAAGGTGCACTGAGAGGGCTTGGCTCCGGACAGCAGACCTACATCACTACCTGCAGATGCACACGCTCCTACAGCAACGCGCCCACCATCACCCTAGCGAGCTCCTACAACACAACAAAAAAGCCCGAACCTCTACTATCACTCGAAAGCAGGCGATCCCAGGAACCCGGCTCGGCAAATGATGAAGATGAACACCTGACAGCAGGGGTGGGGCGTTGGGGAAAGGCCAACCATCTCGCTCACAAGAAAACTGAAAAGCAAGCCGCGCTGAGCAATCAGAGGTTGTTTAAAGCATGAGAAGAGCTTTCACGCCGGTCTTTGCATCAATTCAACTGCACATGCCTGTAGACTTTGCAAGATGCTGGCCACATCGCGCTAGCAAGCAAGCTTCAACTGTAGCGCTCCAAAGCGGTCTCCTATCTGCACACTGTACATGGAGCACAACGCTGCCGGAGGCGCGGTGTCATAGCAACATGACATCTAGGGGAACGTAAAGATATTAAAGAACAAACGTCTGCTCGGGCTGTCAACAGACGCATAGACTTCTAAGGCTTTTGGAAGGATCGGAGGGTCCAAAGGATCGTCAAGAGCATCCATGACTCTGCTCCATTCCTCAAGGGTCTTCTCCCGTATTTCCCTGAGAGTACCCTCGGCACGGCGGATGGCTCGAAGCCCTTCTGCAAAACCTCTGTGACCCCTCTCATTTTCTTCTATGATTTCGTTAGCGTCCCTCTGGATTCGTGGATGCCAACTGAGTGCCACGACCTCCTCTACAAAATCGGGATCAAAGGGTGTCACGCGCAGTTCAACCATAGCGAGGGCTATGACCAGACGTTCGCGCTCATATATGGAATAAGGACTTCTAGAGGCTAAAGCATCAAGGAATCCATCATGTTGCTTCCGATAACGCCCTTTGAGAGCCTTGAAGACAGGAGAACAGGCTTTGTGCACCCTGGCGCCGCAAGACACAAGAAGAAAAGCGTCCACCACCAGCTCGCCCAGGCCGTCCAATCTCTCCTTAGCCTCCTGAAGAGAGAGTTGCCATATCCAATCCTCAAAGTTGGCCTCAAAGCTTCCCTCAGTCAAGAAACGGAGCGTGAGAAGCAGCACTTCCGCCATGAGCGACCTCCTCAAAAAGAACCGCTCAGCTTGAGAAAAAGCTTTCAACAACACAAACCGGTGAATAGGCTGGCGCAATCTTACCAACAAGCGCTCCTAGCGCAAGGCTCCCAAGGCTCAGGCGCAGCTTAAGACGATGAAGACACCTGAGACGCGGCGGGGTTCGGGATCGCTGGGGAGACTAAGGCTACAGGTTACAGAGGGCAGGTGCAAAACCCTTACAGACTGCGAAAACATGGTAGGACGCACAGCGCTCAGCGGCCATGACGAAATCTTTGCTTGGTGAATGGCAGGGTGAACAGAAAAAAATACTGTACACCCAACTGCATACCCTCTCCTATATTTGCTACCCAAAGCATATTTAGTTGGATCTAGAGTAGCGGCAGAGGGTGCATAGGTCGAACTTGAGAAACACTCAACAGCTTACCACGCAGATCCCTGGCAAGCACTCCAAGCGTCGGGCTTCCAAGCTTAGGACGTCGTTGAAGACGAGGGAGAGCACCTGAGAGGCGGGATCATGAAGGAGGGAGGCTCTACTTGCTGCTCAGACCCCTAACAAGCACCCCAAGCACAGGACTTCCAAAGGATGCTGTTGAAGACGATGTCGTTGAAGACGATGAAGAGTACCTGAGAAGCAGAGGGGTTGGGGATAGGGGATCGCTGGGGGTAGGCCTTAATCCCAAACCACCGTACAGCCCTCAAACCCACTAAAAAAAAACACAAGATCGTGCAGCACACTCAGAGCTCGCGGCAATCTGCGAAGAACGGTTTCGGGACCTGGGCAAGTGAGGACTGGGAGGTGCTCAAAACGTCGGCGGTGTCTAACACAAGCTAGCAAGCAAGCATGTTTTTGGCAGCCAGTTGGCTTCCGCCGTCTTTCGCCTCCTGCTACTGAGAGCCAAGAGAGGCGGGGGGCGTTGAG